TTACCACTACAAATGCATCAGTAACGAATGTTATTAATGCAAATGTAATGGAAACAATCAGTAGCAGTCCTAATGTTGAGAGTGCAAATGTTACCACTTTAAATGCTGCTGGAACAACCGTTAATGCTATAAATGCAGTGGAAATGTCTGTTACAGCAACAGATACAGCGAGAATGAATGCTCAAATGAATTCAGCCACCGCTCTCTGTGAAGTCGATCATAACCTCTTGCGAAAGTTTCGTGCTAAAATGGATAGACTAAAGCATGCTCATTGTTCCATGTGTAACGAAAGTTTTCCATCGATAGTACTCGTAAAGGGACAATGCCATCGCTGTTATAGTGAAAAGATACTTCCTAAAAAATTCTCTCAAGAAAACAACATGGACCCCGGTGAAGTTCCTGAGGAATTAAAAGATCCCACAGAAATTGAAGAGATGCTAATATCGCAAGTTTTTACAGTAATGTCTGTATATCGACTTCATAGAGGACAATATGGGTATAGAGGAAATGTCATAAACTTCCCTCAAAACGTTCAAGAATTTATCACTCGACTTCCCCGTCATCCATCATCATTGGAAGTACTAATTGTGCGTCGTAAGTCTTTCAATGATTCTGCAGCATTTAAAGATTTTAATGTTCGTCGCACCAAAGTTGCTCGTGCCCTACAATGGTTGAAGGAAAATAATCGATATTACGCGGATATTGTTATCGATAATGAAGTACTTTTAACCTTACCTGAAAACGGCCCAGTTGATGACCAACTTCCCCAATTTCACAATGATGCTTTATATTCTGAAGATGAAAATGATGCAATCTCACGTAGCTTTGTACCTTCGCTTCTCTCAGTACATAGTGAAGGAATTTCCATTAATAATGCCATTAAGCGTGTGCAAGCCAGAAATCCACCAGTAGAATGGCCGCAAATTGACAGTAACCCTGTCAACGAATTTCAAACTCCAGGCTACATCGCACGAGCGTTTCCAACTCTTTATCCATATGGCCGTGCAGATCTTCGTTCTGAACGTATTAAGGAAGTAAAACCAGCCGAATATTTTAAACACCTACTTCTGTACAAAGATGGAAGATTTGCACGCCATACTTGTTGGAGATATTTTGCACTAAACTCCCAAATGCGATGGCGGGCATTACAAGAGGGAAGTGTGTTTGTTAGGCAAAACTTGAATGATGACCAGCTAACTGTTGAAGAAATACATAATGCGATAGCTAATGGTGATAATTATATGTCTAACCGAATTATGCGATATGGGGAAAGTTTACGTAGATCTAGGCAGTTTTGGACGGCGCGGAGCTGTGAGCTATCTGATATGATTAAACAAATAGGTTCACAAGGGTTAGTGTTCTTTACATTTAGCGCTGCCGACTTGCATTGGCCAGAGCTCCATAAACTCATAAGAGAAAGTGGTGGCTACAGAAAGGAAAATAACTCAGCTGAACAACGTAGTCAGAATATTATTAATAATCCTCATATCGTTAGCTGGTTTTTTAATAAACGCTTCGAGACTTTTTTTGAAGAGGTGTTGAAAAATCGATGGAACTTGGAAGATTGGTGGTATAGATTTGAATGGCAGCATCGTGGTAGTGTTCATGTACATGGAATAGGAAAAAGAAGAAGTGCACCTGTAATTGAGTGGGAGCATATGAAAAGTGATGAAAATATAATGGAGGAAGTTATACAATATCTTAATGGCCTGGTTACTACAATAAACCCAGGACTTAATGCACCCGTACCTGATCGCCATCTATGTCAAAAAAATCACGACGAAATACATGACGATCTGCAAGATTATATCGACCTTATTAATAAATTACAACGACACACACGATGCAGCCCTTCATACTGCCTTCGCATTAACAAATCTGGCCAACAATTTTGTAGATATGGTTATCCCAAGGAGATTAGTGAACATACTTATTTGCGTGATGATAATCATGGACATCCAGAACTTGTGACTAAAAGAAACGATCCATTTGTTAATCCACATAGTAGACTGCAATTACAAGGTTGGAGAGCCAACATTGACCTAAAGCCAGTTCTTAGCATTCACGCCGCCTTACAATATATATCTAAGTATACAAGTAAGGCAGAGCCAAGGTCTACAGCGTTTTCAGATATATTAAATCATATACTTTGTAATAGCAGACCTGAAGATTCATCACTCGTTGCGATCCAAAGACTGCTGTTACATAATGTTGCAGAACGCGATATCTCGGCACAAGAGACTTGTCACTTACTCCTTGGGATTCCTCTTTATCACTCCAGTCGCTCATTTATTTCTTTAAATCTCAATACAGAAACACCTAGATGGCTTCGTGGTACTGGCAATAATACAGTTAGTGAAGCTGGAATGACTTCACGGTCAGTTTTAAGAACTTATCAAGACAGACCAGTTGAGTATGAAGATTTTTCATTATACAAACTCAACTTAACACATAAATTTATAAACAATAAATGGGTAAGATGTGAACGTGAAAACATCATACGCATTTGGCCACGTCCCTCGCCTCTACGTAATGGCCCTCAATGGGAGGATTTCTGTCGCATTAAGGTTATTCTTCATGTTCGCCATCACAATCTTGATCAGCTAACAGAAAATAATACAGTTTCATGGACAGTCTTATACGAACGTTACCTCGAAGAAATTCATGCTGATCCAGTTGATCTACTTGGTCCTCCTGTGGACAATGAAGAAGTCGATAATGTTGAAGAAGTGGATGAAGAAGAACAGCTTGAAGATGATGAACAGGAGGAGCTCCGTCTTGAATGGATGCTTTTGGCTGAAATGGGTCCAAGAGCAAATATAGTTGATTCTTCTGACTTGGGATCTCGTAGCATGGATAGGAGTTATGACTGGATTAATGAAACCAGACAATGCTATTCAAATTCTGACATTAGAGATGCAGGTATTTTCGTGCAGCAAGCTTCTAACACTTCTATAGTGGAAGAAAATGCGTCAGATGAAATTGATTATCAGACTTTAAATGAAGATCAAAAAACGGTCCTTAATCGAATAGAAACTCATTATCGCAGTATACTTGAAGGCCATCAGGTTGAACCACTAAAAATTATTATAATGGGAACCGCAGGAACAGGAAAATCATACCTTATAAGAGCTATTCGAGACAGACTTCGTATGATGACAGTAGACAAGGTTGATTCTCCTGTCCTTGTTCTTGCCCCAACAGGAGTTGCGGCCTTTAATATTAACGGGTCAACACTTCATTCAACGCTTTCCCTTCCTATATTATCTAGAAATAATTTTGATATAAGTGGTGAAAGGTTGAATCAATTGCAAAGCAAACTAAGCCATGTGAAATATTTCATTATTGATGAAAAGAGCATGGTCGGGCACCATATGCTTGCCTTAATTGACATGCGATTGCGGCAAGCTTTTCCCGAACATAATAATGAACCTTTCGGTAATTGATCCATTATTATGTTCGGAGATTTTGGCCAGCTCCCACCTGTACTGGACCTTCCGATGTATGCTAACAACATTTCGCGAGCCCCATTTTCGAACGATGGCCTTACAGTGTATAAGCAGTTTCTAGAAGTGTATAAGCTTAAAGTAATTCAACGGCAATCTGGTGATTCTGAGGAACAACAAAACTTTAGAGATATCCTCTTACGTTTGCGTAATGGAGAATCTACTATAACTGATTGGGAAACTCTTACCACAAGGGTTGAAGACAAATTAAGCAAAATCGAGCGAGAGCAATTCTCAGACGCTGAATATATCTTACCAAAGTGGTCTGAGGTTGACAAAATTAATATAGAAAAGCTTAAATCATTGAATTGTCCTATCGCAAAGATCGTCGCCACACATACTGGCATTGGCGCAAAAAACGCAGATTCCGATGTAGCAATGGGTCTTGAAGCACAACTCTTATTGGCTAAAGGCGCCCAAATCATGCTAACTGCTAACCTATGGACAAAAGCAGGGTTAGTTAATGGAG